AAAGAGTCTGTGTAAATGAACCGATAACTATCAATTTTTTGTTACCTGGGTCGTTTAACGATCTGTGAGTCTTGTTCAATTTTGGTTTGCCTAAAGTATTATAAAGACTTTCAGGAATAACAGTCAAATCAGCACCAGTGTCTAATTTAAAGTAGACAAACAAATCTCTCACATGAAGTTTTATTGTCCAAGGTTCATCTGGTACACAGTCAATAGTTCCTTTTTTGGTTTTACAACACACTGCGAAATGATTATAATGTCCACATTTCCGGCATATTTTCCCATACGCTGCACAATGTCCTCGTGCATGGTATTTATTACAATTTGAACACCGTTTGTTATCGATTTTCTTAGATTATCTAGATTGTGTCCCCGGAAATTTCTGCGTTGCATCCTGCTGTCGAGAAACGTGTGGTTGCGGTACCGAACTTCGTTTTGGCTTTGCCCCGCCACGAACCTCGTCTGTTACAGCTACATCCTGTTGCGATCGAATTTGGTTTTTAACTATTTCGCTGTTTCTTGCCATTGTTACGCATTTTTCGAGAGTAAGGTCTTGTTCAAGCTGCAGTTTTTCTGACAAATTTTTATCTAATATTCCAACTACGATTCGATCTCTTATTTGCTCGCTTTTCATATCGGCAACAAATTCACAGCTGTCTGCCAACTCGTATAAAGATCTAATGAATGTCTCTACTGTTTCACCTGGCATTTGGCTTCTCTTATGGAATTTTGCTCGTTCGTGAATTATATTTTTCTTTGGATTAAAATGTTCGTCGAATTTTGTTAAGACAGTTCCATACTTTTTTGCGTTACTTTCTGATAGTTCAAAAGATTTTAATAAATTGTCAGCTTCTTTTCCCATGGTATATACAAGTGTAGCGACTTGTATATCTTCATCTTCTTTATGAAGTTGTGAAGCTGTTCTGTAAAATGAAAATCTTTGTTTCAAGTTATTCCATTTATTTGGGCTTGAAAAATCAAAGTTTTCTGGAGGTTGTACCTTCGCCATTTTTCTGAAATTTCTTCTAAAATTTAATGCTTTATTTCTTTACAATTTAATGTAGTCCAGCTAGTAATTTTCAATTTAATGATAATCCAATCAACAGTGTTTTATTAATTTACAATTGAATATAAGTTCTTTTTACAATTTAATGTAAATCCTTTTCATTGTCCATGTTTTTCTTCTGTACTTTTGTTGCATATGTGCATCTCTGTTTTTACTTCTGACACCATGTACTATTGTCTGAATGACCGATGGTCAGTTATAACCATAACACTGTTAGATATATATAAGTTTTATTCTAAGTACTAGAGCATATGTTTACATGTTAAAGCATTCTATTAAACTGTTATCAGACAGACAAATCTACACTGAGACAAGTACAAATGTTGCTGCAATGCAGCAATTGAGAAGCTCCGCGCAAAAAAATGCGCTCATTACAGATACCTTACCAAATTATTCCTACGCACAGGTCATGTTATATTCAGATTAAGTACTATTGTAGATTTTTTCCGGATGTTTTGTAATCCATTCTTTGCATAATTATACTTATCTTATGCACTGTCCATAATTAAAAAGAGGGGAAAGATATTTAATATAAAAAAATGCTTTCACTGATGCCTACCTGGTAAGGAAAGTAATTCCATTGAATACAAACAAGACTTACAAGACTTGTAAATGTTATGTGACATGACTGTACTATGTTCTGTTTGTGTCACTACTGTAGTCAGTAAAATAAGATGATAAAAATATCAAAGTCTGTTTTTTTTATTATTATAATTGTAACAAATATACAAATAATAACAAAAGGGACTAATATTATAATATACTAATATAACATGCATTTTTTCATGTCAATTTAAAAAAAATGGTTTCTTTCAATACTGAAAGTAGAATACACCCTGGAATGTAAAAATGGGATGAATTTCAAAAAAGACCAAATTCAGGAATTTTTTGTTTGTTATACACGCGTAACATGGTGATACAGTATTTATTAATATAATAGAAGACTGTTACCTGAATTTTAGGCAGGTATGAGGAAATTCACTAACATCATGTTCGTGCGAGTCAAAGATATAGAAGCTATTTGACTTGGGTGATATATATTAAAAAATCTTTTGTTAATTGATTTATTTAGAGATCAATCTACTTAATTGTTGAATTGCTTTAAAGCCATTCATAAAAAACATAACATTTCATGTTCAAAATGCAGATCAAATCAATGATGCTATCTATCTATAGCCTATGCTTAATGAGGGTCCATCCGCTCGTAAGGCCACAAAATACAGGTTTCGCTGTGGCATACCCTTCGCAGGACGAGCTATTTTTCACGGACGCGCACAGTCACGGACAGGTCGCGTCACGACAAAATGCCTCGAACGAAATTAAATACTTGATCGATTTCGAAAGAAAATACTAAAAATACTACATGATGCACCAATGACAGATTAAAACAACATCTGGTCTTCGGTTGCTAAAGAGATGTTATTCAAAAACCTAACTGGTATTCAATCTTTTTCCTTTTTCTTTTTACCTAATTCTTTGATGTTACGACTGGTTTTGGTATTTGAATGAAATTATGTCATTTCTACAAACAATTATCCTCGGTTCGCTATTCTATTTAACAAATAAAACATGGCTTTGAGGGCCATATACCTTCCTCAGTCTGACCAACCAGTCCGTAAACTTGCATACGTAAAGTTGCATTTTGCCCGAAAGGCCATGTTTTATTTGATATAATTATTATACCGAATCTAAATTTTTTCATCCCTTTTATTGCTGTCATTTTTACTATAATTTGCTTTCAAATCATAAGTTATTTGTTCAGTGTGTGAATTATCTCAAACCCTAGTCGAATTTTTTATTATTATATTCAAGCGATACAGCTAAAAAAATCATGCTCTTCTTTTGTTATTCATTTTTTGTTAATCAAAATAAACAGGCAAAAAAAACCCGAACTTTCAGATGTTCACAAACTGTATAAATAAAACTTAAAATCAATTTAAAGACAAATCATGACTTTTGATCAACATGTAATAAATTTATTTAAAACAAGACAATCAATTTAGTAAAAAGACTCATTTAACAACAAAATAAAGTATTATACCTCATTTGCATACGCCCTTCTATATTTTATATGACGTCATCCGGTCCATATAAGAATTATGGACCGCCCCCGGTCTGTATGCGGTTTATGGACCGGGTGACGTCATATTAAATATAGAAGGGCGTTTGCAAATGAGGTATAATATAAGAAAATAACGTACACATGGAATAATACTCACGGACATACACCGGACACGGATTCGGGTCTCGTACCATTGAAATAGCGGCCAAATGAGTTATTTTTGAAGCACAAAGTGGTGTGCTGTATCACTGTCGCCAATGAAATGTAACTTTATATACTAAAGTTTAATTATTTCAAAACAACCAATATATCAACATGTTATTATCAAACATTTAATTTCATAAATATAAATTAAGAATAATTATCAAAAGCAAAATTATTAAAGTTTTATTCATGAAATCTTCTTTATATTGACACATTCAATCATTAATAGTATACTTGATATGCTGTGTGTAAATTAATTCAAAATGTAACAAATTATAATTTCATGTACTACTAAAAAAAGGAAATAACAAATGTATAACCTAAGTTTTAAAAATCAGAACATTTAGAGCTATTATAGCTTTCGAATTCATGTACAGCAGAACTGCTTACCTGTTCTGATTCATTAATATGACATGTTGCGAATCACCGAAGGGGAAACCAATATAGAAATCGAAAGGAGTTCTTGAATACGGATTTACTTTTAGCTGTAAATCGAAGGGATTAAATGATCAAATCCGGGCCCATGGACAAAAAAAATAGTAAACACAAATAGCTCCGCGCCTGTGGGCGCGGAGCAATAGACCCACGTGACTAGAGAGTATATCATATTACACAACAAATTACTTCCTGTTTACGCATAAATATACAACTTGTAACAAACAACCTTGAATCAGCTTTAAAAAAACCTTCATTCAGTATTTTGTTATCGGATTTTAACAATAACAGTTACATAAGCTGTTCATCCAATTAACATATAAATAAAACATCACATAGTAATTACTTTATAACAGATGTATGTATATGTATGAAAATAATTCAACGTTTACCTGTGCCAAATATAATCCACATAGTGTTCACATAAATGAATGTTAAGGAAAGCGTGAAATGTTTAAGTATGATTTTGAAATAGACAAATATAATTTTAAAACAAGTACTCTCTTAATAAACATCATTCTTCTGATAACGGGAAGTGGTTGAAATTTAGGTTTACACACTTTGACTGCAAATAAGATGTTAATAATATTCAATAAATTTGTTTAGAAAATAAAGATAATAATTATCAAAGTGATATGATGATGGTAACAATGATAATGGCAATGATGATGATGTTGATAATGATATTGGTGTTGGTGATGGTAGTACTGGTGATTATGTTGATGAAGATCATGATGGTGGTGGTAGTGTGTGCTGGTGGTGATAATGACGACAATGATGGTGGTGGTGATGATGATGATAGGGATGATGATGATGATGGTGGTGGCGGTATTGATGATTATGATGAGGAAGACGATGATTATGATGCTGATAGTGATGATGGTACTGGTGAGTTTGATGATCACGATGATGATTGTGATAGTAATAATAATGATCACAATGCTGATGATAATGATTGTGATGATGATACTGGTGATTATGATTATCACTATGATGATGATAATGATTGTGATGATGATAGCGTGATAATGATGATAACAATGATGATGAAAATGGTGGTGGTGATGATACTATTATGATGATGATGATGATGATGATGATAATGATAATGATGATCGGGATACATGTAATTGTAATGTTTTCAAATTGTTGGATTCTTTCCTAATAAATAAAAAGTAAAGTTAGACAAAAAAAATCTTAAATTGGAGATTTACCGACATAGAAGCCTAGTGTTATTTAAAGAAATGGGATTAAAAAAACGTCAAATGATCATATTTAAACGGTTAGTATAATTTGGAAAAAAAATCTAACAAAACATTTTAAAATTGTATGTCACTAAAATATTATTTAAATGTCCTTATGTACATGAAGCTAATGGCAGTAATCTTGGATAAAAATGTTGTGACACTGCAAATAATTTCTAAAACGTTTATTTTGATATATAAAACCCTTTTTTACTGAAATAAGCAGTTTCTATCACAATCGCATCTTCTCGGCCCTTGATAAGGTATTTCGGTTAAAATTAATACATGAATGTAAATAATTAGTAATTTAACGCTAGGAGCTACTGACTTAGTTTTGGTAAATGTCCACGTAAATGAGGCAAACTTATAGATACAAACGTAAACAGTACATTATTTTTATACTTATTATTATGATAATAGAAACTGCAAGTACAAAATAATGACAATTATTCGGATTTGATTATACCTGTACATCAAAAGGCATCTTCAACTTACTATGATTATCAGACATATTTTCAATCATCATTTTACCGAATCAGACTTTATTTTTCTTTTGGATGTCAAATATATACATTCGTTATACATTATCGAAGATAACATCCTCTGTTTTTGTATACATCTAAAACCACGTGGTAAGTCCGAGGGCATGAGAGATAACAGCCCAGAGGTTCCAATTGTTTCTCTTTAACTAGATAGTCCGGCCTGTACCGGTTCTGTCAGGTTCTTACATTCTCATTACTTCGTCATATGACGGTGGTAGATCATCATATCGACTTTCAATCAAATCTGAAGAATGTGGACTGGTTATTTCTGTCACAAAAACGTCCGAAAGTTGCCGCCTAGCATTACTTATATCTGGAGCAGAGGACTCTCTTAAAGCCCTATTATTGTCATTAATTCTATTCAAATCAGCTAATGCTTCCTGTATAGCAAGTTCCTGCAGTTGTCTGTGACGCATGCGTGCGATGTCATTCGATTGTTCGGTATTACTTGTTCGGTCGGAGTTACTATCTGGTTGTATGGAAATATTGTTAAACCCATAGAAAGTATCACCACTTGTTAGTAGCGGCATACCAAATGTTGCAGCGTTACAACAACATGTGAAAAATATTGCCAATGATAACACGAATAAGATAAAAGTTAGTATTATTGTCACAATAGAGATTGCCATTTTGGATTCAGCAGCACTGGAGCATACTGGAAAACAAAATAAAGATAAGCTGGATTCAAAATTTACAACTTGTTGTGTTATTGTGTTGTTATATTTTTCTGGTCTGTTCCAGCACATTAAGTGTTTGCATTTGAGTACCGCTCAAGCCGGTGCTTTGGAGCATGAGGATTGTTGCACTTTTTCATTAGCCCTCATGTACAGACTCAATCAAACGGAGTTATAATTTTTATCAATTTTGTTGTTTTTAATTCTTCCGAGGGGTCACATTTTCCAGATTTTGATTTCTTTGATTTTTAAAATGGATATAAAAGATTAACACTGTTTAATACACTAGTGTATCAAATCGCCTAAAATATCAATAATTACAATATATTTTGCTGATGAAATAAATTTCATGATAGACATTCGTAATTACATAATAGTTAATAACAATTTTGCATTTCTTTCTATTTTGACCACTGCTCAAAACAGTTTATGTCCCATGTTAGAATCTAAAAACTAATTGTACTTATAGTTGAAACGGATGTCTTTCTATACTTATAGTAGAAACGGATGTCTTTCTGATCAGAACTGTATTTTTTTTAATGTATCACATTTCAGCTAGCCCGACTCTTCTAATAAGTCTAAACAGTTTTGATATATATTCTCAATCTAGTAACACCATGTCAAACAAAAACGGTGTCAGTTAACGTCATCAATGGCGAGCTACGCTCACAGGAATTTCAGAAATTTACATTGCATTACAAAATAACGGCGGACAGTTCCCATACCGCTTTTCATTCTTCACAGCCCCACTAGAATTGCACAAAGGGTGCTGCAAAGGAATGTGATAAAATAATGGGGGAAAAAAGGTACAAAAGTTCATAGGCAGTGAGCAACCTAGCCAACAATCCAAATTCATATCAAACTCAGGAAAACCTAAATAGCTAATAAATGAACTTGCAGATGTACTTTTAAAACCTTTCTTTTTAGTATATATTAGTAGGACAAAGATAACTATAACCGTTCCAAAAAAAAATCAAAGAAATGATATAAAGACATAGAATAAAATTAGATATTATCGTGAAATCATTTATTTCGCAGGCATAAAATTTGGTGCATATGTCACAAAACGTGTATTCTCAACCAAAACCTAACTAAATAAAATTTGAATTACTGATGGTATACATTTGAGAGAAAAAAAATCTTGAAAAAGGTAGATACCTCAGAAGCATTTATCACAACAAAATTACAAGAAAATCGCAGACTCGGTTTGAATTTTACAGTACATGAGGGATAATGTAAAAGTGCAATGACAGTCAGCACACACAACCTGACATCTCAAACTGTCGATACTTTTAAAAGTCTACGTATGAAAATTAAAGATCATTATTATTTCTTTCTTATTCTAAATCGTTTTGGTTTTTTTACAAAGTCATCTGATCAAGGAGCATTTATTTTAATTGTTTTTAAAATTAGCTTTAGTTGGTTACTGAAAATTTAAAAGAAACTCCAATACGTTGACCCTCTAAAGTAGAGACAGGGCATACTTTTAACTAAACAATCTGTAAGTTAATACATATCAGGCATACAACCTTCGAGCTTCAATTCTTAATCTGAACATGCAACGACACCATATATCCCAGAAAGTCCAAACCCTAAAGTAATGGCTAATACAGTTACACTAAACCACACCACCATTAGTATTGTCTGAAATTGCAAACATAATTTACTATAGCTGAACGGTTCGGTATTCAAGGCTTAATGAGGGTCCCTCCGCCTTCTCAGGCACTCAGAGTACGGACCTCTGACGAGTTCTCCTTGGCCGGGTACTTTATACTAGTATATTACTGAATTTGTTTCACTTGAAATTCAGTAATGTCGGTTCGAAACCAGCTAGAGATTTTGAATATTCCCCCGTGTAAGGTAGCTTTCCAGCAGTAGTATTTGAAAGTCGCGATATGAGTTTTATAGTCGGTGTGCCATTAACCTATTATAATTTAATTATAAAACAATGTAATCTAATGAAAAACAACAACAACAAAAACCACGCATACATTTTTAATGCCTTCGAGTGGTAAGAAATATTCATTTAGATAATCTATATTACGTACGCAACACTCAAAACAACCTGACGTGTAGCCTCCGAGTGATTTTTTGTCCTCACTATAAATTTTCATTGGAAAACACGACAGTATCATTGCCTGAAAAATCAACACAACAATGTCATTAAAAAATAACAAATGTACAAGCAGTATATGAACATTTCTTTAAACTTATAAGCTCATTTGGAAAACAATACCGTAAATACCTCCAAATTAAGCAGGCAATTTTCTGTACAAAAAACCAAAGCGTTTCAAACGATGACGTAGATTGGTACCACAGAGAGTGAAATAAAATATCAGAAATTCATGCTGGTTCGAGTGAAACCTGTTTAAACTAAAAGTAAAATGAAAATGTACCATAATTCGAAAATGAGAACGGTGACCCCATTTTTTCAGTTTAAAATGTGTATGTTATCATATTCTAATAACATGCCAAGTTTAAAAGAATTCTATTGAACAGTTTTAATTTTGCTTATATGTCTATATGAAAACTCCGGAAAACGCCTTTAAATATTGGAAAAAAAATCCATCGGGAAAAAATCCAGTTGGAGGAAATTCCAATCGGATTTTGACAAAATTTAATAACTACTTGACCCAATTTCCGAGATCAATTGTCACGGATAAATTATGCCTCGCCCGAGTATCGAACAAGCTATCCCTGAATTACTAACCCGATCTTCTCTCGACTGAGCTTTTCAGGTGAACGTAGTAAAACATTTTTTGTCTTTTAATTTTCATTAAGTTAAACTTTCTTTAATATCCGACAAGAAGGTCGATACATACCGGTATTCCCGCAATCATTGCTCCGCCAGCAGTGAAAGGAAATTCCCTTTGTGATTCCGTTACTGAGACGGATGCAAGACCAACCACTATGGAAACTATCGAGATAATCAGCATTATCCAACCAAGTATACATATACGTCTGGTCAATCTTATCCTTTCATCGAATTCTGCAATAGTATATAATATTGATTTCATATTATATGTTTTAGAAGTTGATATAATATGTTATATGTATTGGAAAGTACTTATATCTAATTTTTACTATCTGAATAAAGGAAACTTTTGATTTATTGTGACGTCAGGCTCATGAGTTTGTATCACTAGCATTGACTGTTTAAATAGAACCATTACATCGGATAATTTGTTACGTCCGTGACCGAGTGAACTTCAAACCATAAGGCCCCACACCGCACTATGTTCGAATCCCGGTACGGAGGAAGCTTTCCGCAAGTGAGGAAGCTTTCTTGCTTGCTTACGGAACGTCGGTGGTCCTATTCAGGTGCCGGTTCGTACCTGAAATAATGCACGGAAGGGCACAATAAGTCTTCCTCCACCAATAAAGTTGGAAAGTCACCATTTGAATGATGTGACGTCAACTGTGTTAGTGCGCCGTAAAACACAACCAAACATTTCAAAAAATAACAATCTCATTTTTTCACCCTTGGCTAAATCTTTTTAAAAGTTTTTACAGCTTTTCTAAGATTAATAATATTAATATTTTTCAAACGTGATGGTTAAGTTTTGTTACTTTTTTTGTATTTGTGTCAAGAATATGATCAAGTTTAATAATTTAAACTTTTGATTAACTTTTGAAACATTGTCAATCTAATGCCTTAAATCAATGAAGATCAATTTACCTTTCACCAGCAGAATTTTTGTTTGATATGGATTTGCCTGGTATTAAATAAGAAATATATGCGAGTCCATTCAAAGTCAAAGGGATTTCAATATCACAATTCAAACTTTAGCTACCAGTTATCGATAGGACTTGACTAAAATCAGGTGTAAATAAACAAAAAAATTAAAATCACTATTTTTTGGTATTTATATTTTTATGATTGCCATTATTACTATTATTATTGTTATTATAAGTATAGGTTATAGGTTATATACAGAGTTTTAAGAAATTAATTTTCGAGCGAACGAAGTATTATTATTATTTGTATAATAATTATACATCAATTTATTGCTTCTAATAAGAATTACTCAAATTGTCATTCTTCTCTGAATTAATAATAAATAAGGACATAATTTAGACATTTTCTTACATAACATTTTGTATATAAATTGTGTCTATATTTATCATACAAACATCACTAAAATACAATATTATATCTGCAAATGATATTGCGTATTTAAAGATGTTATCAGGAAAGGCAATAAAGGGAACGCTTACAGTTTCTCTATGGTGATAACAACTTTATGAAATCAAAGCACAGAAGGCGCTGAATTTGTTTGGGTCTCAGAATGTCAGAAAGGTGAAGGTTGTGAGATTATATGTATAGTGCCACCAATTCTTTCCAGCGTTTTAACTGTAGTAAATTGGTTATAAGATTAATTGCAACACTGATATTCAATTCAATGTTTATTTGACTTAAACAATTTGAAAAAAAAATGAGTTGCCTTTACTGGGATTTGAACTCCAGACCGCTCGCTTCCTAAGCGAGCGCGAAAACCCCATGGCCACGGTGAAGTTATATGTTAACGGCCTGAAGAAAACCATATTATTCTAAATAAGGGTTTGTAACCCTAATCATTTTGCTTAACACAGATGTAAATAATCATGGAGCTTACTATAAGCATGTATATATATAAAGAATAAAACAATATTAGAAATCTTCGACCATTCGGGAACTATTTTGCTTGAAAGTTAATGCGCCTGTCATTTGACCATCTTTACACAGTGATCTCCCCTGAAATTTTCGGCGTTAGTGTACATATAAAGGGAAGTAACCGCTTCAAAAAAGCGGACTACTTTCGGCATTTGCAATTAACAGCATCAGGGTCTGAAATTTCGCTACCATTATGTTTGGTCTGACGACCCAAACAAATAAAAATCACACAATCACACAAGTCATCAGATAAAAACAGAATTTATTTTCCCCTGAGTCAATACAGGTTTCGGAGAGAACAGATTATAGATATTTAACAGATAAATTATGTACTTGAATGTATTTGTCTCAATAGAAAAACTAGTCGTGTGGTTCAAAAACAAAATGTACGTGGAGTAGTTTTTATGATATTCTTTCATTAAGCTATTATTTTTTCTTGTGACCGAGGGGTGGAGGCCACCATTTATCCCTGCGTGATTATAAGAGGCTACTAAATGGGTTCGAATTAGTGGAGTCCCTGCATCTCTTAGCTCCAAAAGGTGAGGTAGTTTTGAACCCTGGTGTTGCTGTCGGTTTCTAACACACTAGATTAACCAAATGCATATTTCTTGTTTCGGCGCCATATAGCCTACTTTGTGTTGGAACGCCGTAAAACATAACAATCAAACAAACACATTTTTATTTGCAGGGTTTCCCCTGACCATATAAGCCACACATTGTCTATTTGAGCTTCTTTTCTTACAGGAATTTATAGTTTTAAACACTTTATCCCTTTGTATTCAATTAAATTCAAAAGACTATTTTCTTGTCACGTGAAAGTTGTCCCATTAAATTTGCTACTTCTTTACATACGTTTTACAAACATTAATACTACACAGGTGTACCGAAGGTCTGTTCCTTCTTCATTACTTCGTCATATGACGGTGGTGGATCAGTATACAGGCTTTCAACTCTATCGGAGGGGTTTGGACCGGTTTCTTCTGTCACAGAAGCTTCCGGGAATTGCTGTCTGATATCACTAACATTTGGAGCAGACGGCTCGTGTATCGTTCTGTTATTTTCATCAACATTTGTCCTATCTGCCAGAGAGCGGAAGTTATTCGTTCTATCCTCAGATAATGTTCCCTGTTGTCGGCTGTAGTAACGCTGTCGTTCGATAGAGTCGTTGTAATATCCGTAAGAATCAGCACTTGCCAATAAAGGCATGCCGAACTTTGCAGCGTTACAAACAGCACGTGAAAAATTGCCAAAGATAAAATGAATAAGATTAAAGTTAGAATTATTGTCACAATAGAAATTGCCATTTTGGATTCAGCAGCACTGGAACATGCTGGAAAACAAAAACATAAAGCAGGAAAAATAAATAAGTTAAGTCAAGAATACACACGTAATGCAACTGACATAATTACTAATATAAATAAAACTGACATAACTACTAATGAATCTGAAGTATTATAACTAATGAGACTGACATAATTACTTAAGCTTCAAAAGGCTTTGTACACTTCTCAAGTAAGCCGAAAGTACACTTAAAACGTAAGGACGGTTTAGTTATTGTTACTCTTGGTTTATTTTTGTTACAGTTAGATTTAGTTGACAATTTCAGATCATCACAGTATTTTTGTTCGGCTACGCCTCGGGTAACAGTATTTTCCTCGGTATGATATTTTTACTGTTACCAACAAACCCATGTGTTATTTATATACTGTATCAAATTGTTTGGTAGATGCAAAAAGAAGATAAGGGAATGTTCTTTGAATCACAGACTTCGTAAATGGTCCATAAATTAAATCAGCACGCCAGATTTATGTTAATTCTCATGAAAATTTTGGAAATGTATTTAAAAGTAAAATATTGTGAGGTGAACAAATAAAGCAATTTACATATTGCAATCGACACTTACAATCCAAGAAAATTACCAAAAAGTGGTCAACATATTCAAAGAACAGCTCTTACTGCGTTAGTAACCCAGTAGAAATTTGGTGATAAAGTACTGAAAAATCAGTCTTAAACCGCAAATAACATGTACACTTGAATGCTTTTACCATTCTTAAAATGTCAGTACATTTTTCTCAATATTGATTTTCTTGAAATATTTTGGCTCATCTGGATGCGTGCAGCTTTAAAAGTTATATAAACGCAAACAAATGATGATAAAATATGCAAAGACAAACATGCTCGAAGGAAACTCAGTTAAGCTATTTGTTGACAAGTCCACATATACTACGATAATTACCGTTGAGCTTCAATTCTTGATTAGAGCAGGCAATCACGCCGTATATCCCAGACAGTCCAAATCCAAGAATAATAGCTAATATTGTTATACTAAACCAGACCACCATTAGTAATGTCTGAAAATATATATTGCATATAATAATTAACTATATCTGCAGTAGGCTTCCGTGATTGCTTAGTTTAGAAATCGCCGACTTTGATTATCATGTGTCGCTGTCTGTTTTTGGTTCGAATATAAAAAGGGCCTTTAAATTCTTTTATGCCATGATGCTTTCAAGCTTTCTTATGTATGATCACCTAAGGTACCAACTCACGCCAAATTATGCACATAGGGCATCGAAATACTTCTGAAACAGTAAAGCGCGAAAATTGCCAAATGGCCTTGGAATTTTTACGTATTTAACAAAATTTTAATGCTAGGAGCTTGGGCGGTAGTTTGCTTTAACCGTTTCCGCCCATGAACACACTCTATTTAACATGTAATATGCTGCCGGTTGGACGTTGAATAAGGTTTCGATTGATTATTATTTAAAACCACCCAAATATATGTATTACAGGAAAATACGCCATTTGAAATGTTACCTAAAAAAAATTCAGAAATCTTTTTTAAAATACATTTTGTAAATGAATTAAATATTACTTACGCAACAATCAAAACAACCTGTCGTGCTGCCTCCACGTGACTTTTTGTCTTCACTATACATAGCCATGGGACAACACGACAAAAATAATGCCTGAAAAAGTCAACATAATAAAAAATTATCAAGATTTATTGTAAGTTTAATTGAAAACGTGTCTGTCTCTCAACCCAGAGATCATGGGTTCGACCCTACTCAGGTCACGGCCATGTTTCTTCACATGTTTCTTCATATGACACCAGTACTGGTAGATTCCAGGGAGCGGACTCGAAAGTGATTAATATAAGTTGCAAGAACTTGTTTCGCAATCGAGCTAAAAAAATGTTTAAACCAAAACGTCCCGAATAAGCAATTTCTTTAGCAAAAACATTCGGAGCACTTCAAGTGAAACGACGTGGATCGGTACCTACCACAGACTGGACAGTCATAACATATCTATAATTCAGGTTTATCCAAAATATAATTGTTAAACCTGAAAAAAGTTAAACAATCATATCTTATTTAGTTTTAAGTCGTTACAAAAAGGAACAATTAATCAATAATTGATTCAAATAACTATGTAGTTATATATGAACAAGGAAACTATAACATAGTCTACACACGTGTACAGTCATATCAATGCGATTACAAAACACCTTAGAACAATAAACTCGTCAAATATCTGGTTCCAGACTGTTTCTTCAACTTAAACCTGTCATAACAAGACTATGATGAGGGAGTTATTTAAGAGTTAAAACCATATGTAAAATAATATAAAAAATATAGCAGATTTCGTAAGTTGAAAAAAAGATCCTTGCCAGAAAATGTCAACTGTAAGGTGGAATCCTTTGGCGTGATTAATGATAATGATTAGTCCGCTTTCAATAAATTCAACTACTCATATGCAGCAACACATAAACTTTCTATAAAGATCCTGTACGTATGTTGCAATTAATGTTTTACCACACTAGAAGGAGAAATTTTATATATGTATATAATTATGCTTCTAAAACAATTTTCAAACATCGAAGAATATGGAAAAATATGTTACTACAAATATTTGACCACATTGTATGTAATTATTTAAAAAATATAGTT